GGTGTTTCATTGGCTAGAACTTGAGCACGCCGAGAGGTTAGTGGTTCTAGTTAACACTAGGGAATGTGTTCACTTACACACTCAGCTCGGAGCTGGGGAGAGTCCGCTCCTCCCACACTCGGCTGTGGAAGCCTCCGGGACAGGGCAGGCCCTTTGCATGTTTGAAGAAAGTCACAGGACCTAGCAAGCTGAGGAGACAGAGAAGCGAGTTCTAGACGCCAGGTACGTTGTGGATGTTGAGGGTGTGGCTGATTAGAATTTCCTCTTTTCCTCCTAACAGTAAAATTCAGTCAGTCAATGGGTCCCATTCATTGAGTTACTCAACAGGTATTTATGGAACATCTACCAGGTATGACGCATTGTGCCAAGTGCCGTGAAAGACACAAACGTAGGTAGACAGCACCCGGTCCCACCTTGCAGGACTTCCAGTCCAGTGAGGTACCTGAGACATGTCCACAGATGGCCGCAAGTACCACAGGGAGGGGAGAACAAAAATATCACAGAAGTTCAGACAAAGAACCAAGGATGAGCCCAGAACAGCTTTCCACATCATCTTTATAGGACCTCGGAAGTTGGGGAGGCTTCGAGGAGCTGAGATGGGGTGCGAGGGCTTTGCAGACATAAGGGCTGGGTGGGCAGGGACCGTTTGGGAAGGCCGAGGGGTCATCCTGTCCTGGGAGTGAGGGAAGGGGAGTGGGAGGGAGGAGGAGGAGGAAGGGCCCATGTGTGAGAGGGGATACAGGTGCCAGACGAGGCACTTGAACTTAATTTGGCAGGAAGAGGGGCGTCGTTGCAGGCTTTGGAGCAGAGATGTGTGCGACAGAGCTGGCAGCAGGGTTAGGGCGGGTTGAGCTGTGTCAGGTGCAGGGCGTAGATGGTTGCTCCCCCTGTCCCCCTCTCCACCACGTGAGAAGCCCAGAGCCAAGGAATCCAGGGCAGTCCAGTTCCCGAGAGGACAGGAATGGGGGACAAAGAGAGGTAGGAGGGTGGGCTGTGGGCAGTGAGAGGGCTGCCCGCCCCCCTGTGAGAAGGGGGAGGCTGGGCGGGCAACGGAGCCTGGGGGCAGTGCCTTTGGGTTGCGGGAGGCGGTGCTTCTGAACTACTCACAGACTCAGAGAGCCAATGTAAACATCCGGTAGGCCCCAGTGCACGAAGCCACCTGTGACTGAGTAGTCACATCAGCACTGTCCGGCCCCTTCTACCCTGAGCCATAGACGGCCAGAACCTGCACGTGGCCAGAGAGGTTTGGCGGGGGGGGGGGGGGGGGGCAGTTTAAGTCAAAGTCAAGCCAGAACTTTCCACAACTGGATGGGACTGTGACACTCCTAGTAACCTAAACGAGACTGTTTGCTATCTAACGTGACTGAACGACTTCCTGTTACCTCCGTCTCATGACAGGAAAAGTCCTGGGACCCGCCTGAGTTTTCACGCAGGGGCAGGAGCTGGGACAGGTACAAAAGGGAGACCAAAAAAGTCGTATTTCAAGTTCACCTGGGATTCCTGCGTGCCGGACAACCAGTCCCTCAGTAAGAAGACGCCCTGGTAGGGAGCAGGCGTTCACATGTCACCTCGACTCTTCCTCTTCTTCTTTCCCTGGAAAGGCTTAAAAAATGAGCAAACACTCAAGTACAAGTAACCTAAAGCACAATGTTGGGTCTCTGTGGGGAGAATGTTTCTGGGAACACAAGCCTTAGGTTAAAGACATTGACCTTGAATTTTCAATGTCGGGTATGAGCAAGGGCAACGCACATCCTTGTTGGAGACGGGAAGAGTCGTGCGGCAGGGCCGTGAGGACTCTGGCGCTGTCCGTTGGCCTCGAAAAGTGGGTACCCACCCGCCCCATGCAGTGCACGTGAATCAAGAAAAACAGTTTAGGACTTGGCTAACTCGGTAACTTGCCTGAGAAAGCAAAATTGGAGGTCAACCAAGTTACATTTCAGACCCAGAAGGGAAAAACAAACACACTGAAACCTAGCATCTATTAAACTACCTTCCCGGTCCTTGGAGAAGCCACAAAGAGCTAAATAAATCACAGCTCAGGCACCCTGGGTGGGACACAGCCCCTGGCTACCCTGTCCCCGTCACACGGCATAGCTGTGCCCTGAACGCCATCGCGGAATCGCTGTCCCAGTTGTTCCTCACTTAGCCTCATTCGTAATGGCAAAGAGGAGGAACACTGGCCTATCTTGTTCTCTCCCATTATTCCAACAGGCATTCTTCTGTTGGTTTCTGATTTTAAATTCTGGAAAATTCTCTTCCAGACAATTGGTCATTTCCCTAACCCTTAAAAAAAAAATGGCCATGCAGAGTAAATTCTTTTAGATTTAAAAAAATATGTTTGGGCTAATATGTACGGATTGAACTCTAGGAGTACCAGGGTCAATTTTATGCCTTTGATGTGGACTGTGTTCATTTCCGACTGAGGCACATATTTAAGGCTTCATACAGGGGAAGGTTGCTTTTCGTAGGACAGCAAGAGTATTAAAGATAATGTCGGATTTTATGACACAGATACTTCTCCAGGCTGATATCACAGAGATTGATTTAATCAATAGGCTTGAAGCAATCAGCCTTTAACACCGGCTTGTCACAGAAGCTCCGTGTCCCAGTCCAGCCGTGCCCCGCCGAACATCGCAGACGCGCCTGAAAAGCTGCCTAGCCTGAGCCCGCTGCCCTGCCCCGGGCCTCGCAGCGGGGAGGCTGCCCCCGCTCTGGATCCGGAGTTCAATGCAGTATAAATGCGATTCTTACAGTCACTTTACATTGACTCTCTAAAGGGAACGTCGTCATTTCCTGGCCATCTTTTATTCTCCGCGTGTCTCAAGATGAAGTGCAAATTCTGTGCTAGGCCATGTGTGTAGGAGACCCCGGTTGGTGTCTCCTTCAAAATCTCTCTTATCGTCAGGACTCGCAGAGGCAGGAGAATATTCTCTTTACAAACCCAGGAGTCCACGCCAAGTGCGATTTGCCAGTTTCTTAAACGCTTATTTAACTTGCAGCTTCTCGGCACCTAGAATCATAAAATCACATTTTTAGAAAGGCTGGAAGCCTAGTTTTTCTAAAGGGTATTTATTAATTTTGTTTGTATTTGCCTAAAACACTCAAGGAAAAGCTATGATTCTTTTTTAGTTGGATCTAAAAAGTTCTTTGCATCATTGAAGTGGTTACTTCCCCAAAGGGGATTTCTTAAGGTTAGACACCCATTTATCTATATTTTTCCATCGTAAGTTCTTACATCTTCTTGCTCTCTTTGCCAAATTTGCTTTCCTGAGAGAACCTCTGAGGATGTTAAAAAGGCTTTAAGTGTCCGGGAGCCTGGGTGGGGTCACATTGAGGCAGGAATGACAATTAATGGTTTTCTACGGTTTCCCATGAATCCGGTGAAGAGAAGCCACAACTGGCAGTCCAGCCAAAGTGTGACATGGTGTTGTTTTTTGTGTTTGTTTTGCTCAGTTTCTGCAGGTGGTTGGTGTGGGAGACGTTAGGAATGAGATGTTAGAAACGCCACATAGCTTCGTCTCTCATCACATGGTTCTCCTGGAGACCACTTGCCTGGCGGGAAGTCCAGCCTAGTCATGTTTGCGGTCACCCTCTACCTTCTTAAACTCGTTGGAGAGTCCCTGGGTTTCCACAGAGCAGGGAATTCAGGAAAGGGCTTTGGCCTTCGGGTCACAGCGAGCCCCCGCATGTTGGTGCCACCGTGCCTCCTTTTAAGACCGGCGCTCTGTGTTAAAGCCATGCCAGTCCCTGGTCTTGGCAAAGGGGATCGTGGCCTATGGCCCCCGCGGCCTGGACATCCCCCTGCCATCCCATCAGGGACCTCACCCCCCCGCCCCCCGCAGACACTGCACAAAGGTGGGGTGCGGTCCCCAACGCCCCCATGTCCAAGCTGCTGTTCACTTCCTCATCTTGAGCGAAGCGTTCCTGCCCTTCCTTCGCCAGCCCCTGCTTTGTCTTCAGTGTCGAGAACAGCGTCCCTGACGTGGTGGGTGGTCTGGGAGGCGCTCTCCACTCTGGATGTCATCATTCTGTGATTCCGTGGCGTGTTCCCTAAGGCCCGTGATGTCGCTGAGCGTGGCGGCGACAGGCTGACCGTGGTCATTGCAGATCCCGCCCTGCACTCAGCTGCAGGCTTTGAGCTGATGCGCACTCGGCCTCTCGCCCCCTCTGTGGCGTCGAGGGGCAGTGACAGTGGGCCAGGGCGTGGCGCTTAAAGCTGCCCCGCCCCTGGGTCCCCGAGCCCCGCTGGCATAGACTTCAGTCTGTCCCCACGGCCCCTCTCCACGCCTCAGCACAACCCTGGCTGCACGTCAGCTCCTGGGCTGAAGGACAGGGAACGGGCTTCGTGCGGGGACGTGGCCATCTTCTTCCCAAAAGCTGTCTTGAGGAGCATGAAATGACAATATCCCAGCCCCCGAAATCCCTTGAATCATTTTGGAAACTGGCCTGCAAGCTCATTTCCATAGTTCTTTAACCTCTTTTGAGTAGATTAGCTCCAAAATATTGAAAACTGGCTTTTTGCCTTTTAAGGGTGAATCTGCGGTCCTCGGGGCTTTGTGCCCCAAGCTCTTCGACCCAGCGAGGACTGGCCCGTTCTGAGCTGGCGGCTTCTCACCTTACACACTTGCAGGGATGTGCAGCAGGGCCACCCAGGGCCACCAGCTGTGCCTACGGCACAGAGGGAGCAGGCTCTGGACCCCTGCCCCTGGTCGTACAAGCAGGGTTGTCCGATTCGTCCGCCAGTGTCCCAGCTGGGTGACGCTGCGGGAGCCAAGGGCCTGGCTTGCTGTGGCCGGGAAGGGGGGTTAAATCGTCCGCAAAAGAGAACGGCGGGCCTCCCCCGAGGTAAATGCTTAGCACAGATGAATTTTTAATGGAAATCAATTTCGCTTCCAAACTAACCTTTAGCTCCTTGGAAAATACAGTCTGCTTGCTGTTGATTACTGACGTTATCTTTCCTCTCTTTTTCCCCTCCCTCCTGCCTGCCAACCCGTTGGCAGCTGCCCGTATCTAGCGGTGAAAATCACCCCTGCCATTCCTGTGGTTGGTGGCATTCTGTTCTTCTTTGTGATGGGGACCCTGCTTCGCACCAGCTTCAGTGACCCTGGAGTCCTTCCACGAGCCACGCCTGATGAAGCCGCCGACCTGGAAAGGCAAATAGGTAACCTGACGGTCTGCCCTTAGCCTCTGGCCCCTCCCCACCCGTGCTGGCCCCAACGTGGGATGCCAGGCTGAGGTGTCCGTGCAAGAGGGGCAGGGCGCCCGACAGTGATGAGGACCCAGGCGGAGCCCCCGAAGGCTCCCTTCGCTCTGCCGCAGGATGAGCTGAGTAGGAGGTGGGATGTAAAGTGGTCAGAGGTAAGGCCGAGGGCAGATGCGCTGGAGGCAGGTTGTGGTGCCGTGAACCGGGGCCTGGCCACTGAGCTCTGCTTTCTGACGTGTCCACGAAACTCATGTGTCCCAGTCACGCGCGAAGGTCTGTAGTTACCAGCGCCTGTTCTCCCTTCCCTTTTACAGTCGCCGTGGCCTAGCTCTGGCGTCCGTGGCATAAACCTCGAAAGCCTTCAACTTAGACTGTCTTATTTTTCCAACCTGGGATCCAGAATTTCTTTATTATGGCATAACAGCGATACCTATTCATGATATATATTGAAATGAAAGTCCTTTTTTCTCATTAAAAAGAGAGCTTTGTCTTGCCCCTAAAAGTGCGCATTCATGAATGCATAGCTTTGCTGTGACACGTGGGTGATCCGACAAGCGTGGCAGAGGGGCGGGGATGGCCCTGTGAATGCCAAGTTAGGCATGAGAGATCAGCGACAGACGGCCCAGTCCCTGTTCCTCCGGCCCCCTCGGCTTCCTTGCCCAGCCGAAAGGTCCCTCCATCCACAGGGTAAGCAGATCCCAGTGTGGGCCGTAGATGACAGCGTTTGCTCTGGTCTGCCCTCTCCAAGCGCTGAAGCACAGCTGTGCCCTCTGATCGCTTGCCTCCGTTCTTCGTCCCTGTCTCGTGGGAGGAAAGCAGTGACAGAGTAGATAGTGGGGATGTATGGTGGATTGTCAGGTGGGCAGCAGCCTTCGTGTGTCCTGAGGTAGGGAAGAAGGGGAAGGAAGATTACTCCCTTCCACTGGAGAGACATCTCTTTCTTAGTCATTGCATCTGCATCTTGGGATTTCAAGAGAGGGTGTTAATTCGTCATTTAAGGCCTTACATGTACAGTGCGTTCATACCGTGTGAAGGCTATCATTGAACTTGACCACTTCCAAGCAAGTCTGAGGGGAAGAGGTTAAATGGGAGAAAGTGGAACCCAGGTTTCCTGCGCCTCGGCCCTTGTCCGTTCCAGGTTGTCATGTCAGAGGGGAGACAGAGAAATGCGACTCAGTAAAACTATAAAACTGCTGAGAAAACATAGGAGAAAATCCTCATGACCTTGGGCTAGGCATAGAGTTTTTAGATGTGACACCAAAAGCATGGTCTGTAAGAGAAAAATAATGATAAATTGAATTTAATTAAATTTAAAATTTTAGTACTTCAAAAGACAGCCTTAAGGAAATGAAAAGACAAGCCACAGAGTGGGAAAAAGTATTTGTAAATCATGTACCTGGGAAAGTGTCTTGTTCTTGTTGCTAGAACATATAAAGATCTCTTACACCTCAATAATAAGACCACAACCCATCTAAAAATAGACAAAGGTTTGAACAGATATTTTTCCAAAGAATATATCTGAGTGGCCAATAAGTACATAAAAAAGTGCTCAACATCAGTGTTATTAAGGAACGGCAAGTCAAAACCACAGTGAGATATCACTTCACAGCCTCTAGAGCGGCTCTAACTCAAACAACTGACAGAGACAAACGTTGGTGAGAGAGCGGAGAGACTGGAGTCCTCCTGCATGACTTGGGGGAAGTAAAATGGTGCGGCCACTTTGGAAACCAGTTCCGCAAAATTCCTCCAGAAGTTAAGCACAGACGGTGCCATATGACCCAGCGAGTCTCTTTCTAGGTATAGATCCAAGGGAAATGGAAACATGTGTCCTTGTGTGTACATTATACCTAACAGCCCAAGACCAGCCCCAACCCCCATGTTCATCAGAGGGGAAACTGATAGGTGATAAACATGTGGTATGTCCGCACATGGGATACCAGCGAGCAATAAAAAAGGGCCCAGCGTTGACGCATGCTACAACATGGGTGGACCTTAAAAATGTCATGCAAAGGGAAAGAAGCCAGATCAAAAGACCACGTGTTGTGTTTCTATGATTCTGTTTCTATGAAATATCCAGAAAGGACAAATCTTCAGAGACGGAAAGCAGGTCGGTCTGGGCTGGGGAGGAGTGAGGGCGGACACACGTGGGTCCCATAGAACTTTTCGAAGTCACGAAAAGAGTCTAAAATTAGATTGTAGTGATGGTGGTGCAAGCTAATAAATGTACTAAAAATCATTCTATTGCCCACTTACAATGGATAACAGTTATGGTGTGTAAGTTACACCACTACACACCTGTCAGACATAAAAGGGAGGAAGAGAGGAAGGGAGAGAGGAGGAAGATGGGGTGGCCCCGCTCGAGTTGCGTGACCTTAGACGTGTCACCCACTTTCTAAATGCCACCGTCCTCCTTGTTCTGAGCTGTTGGCGGGAACAGTGACACACATCCTGCAGGGCTCTTGGGGTGAGCTCCGCAGATGGGAGTATGTTTGGAGGGGCAGTTCTCCTCCTTGCCACCCAGTTCTCTCTTCACCTTCGACAAACAGAGATTCTCCTAAAAAGTCACCTGCCACATAATAGGAGGCAGAGGCGGAACAGTGCGGCCTAAGGCTTCACAAGGAGTCCTCCTCCCCTCTATTTCTCGACTGTGGAACATAACGTTATGTTTCAGCGAAATCTTAGCACAATTATTTTGTGCTCTCTAACTAAAAAAATGAAAAATGAGATTTGGGAACTTCTCACTATCCGGGTTATTAATTCTAATTATCCATAGTACACCTCTACTTACGGAGGCCCACAATAGCCACGTGAAGCCAGCCATCTGAGTACTTGGTTGCAGATGTGCCGGGACCGGCACGGCCCCCGTCTGCAGCTTTCCCGAGAGGAGGCGGCGGCGAGGAGGCTGTGTCTCGGTCTGTCGCAAGTCGCTTGAAATGCCCCAATGTCTTTTTTTCTGAAAGAACTTTCCCAATAACTTATGTTGCTTATGTTAAGACAGCAAAGGATGGCAACAGGGGCCCGGGGAAGTCTCGCTGGGGTCACCGGAGTCCGGCTTGGAAACTAGTCTCAGGAAGTCAATTTTTTTTTTTAAGTTCACTCAGGGACAATCAGATACCAAGCAACTGGTTTGGGATCAAAGCATTTTGTTTCAATTAGGAATAGACCTTTCCAGGGATCAAAACGGGGAAAACAGCAGGCCGCCTCTGCTTACGTCCCCGTGTGGTGCGTGCGGTGCGTGCCCTCTTCCCGCCCCCTCGGCAGCGCTGGCCAGGGGAAGCCAGGACGTCAACCTGGGCTGCAATGTGGCCTCGTCCGCCTGTTGAGCTCCAGACTAGTTACTCAGGAAACTTTCTCCTGTGTCAAAGAAACCCTGACACGGGAAAGTGCTCTTGCTTAGGGAGGGTGGAATCAGATCAAAGGAAGCTGGGTGGCCTTTAAAAAAGTCACCTTTCTGAATAATCATCACTCCACTCTGCACCTGTTGCTGCCCTGCTAGAACACCACTCTGCTGGACGCCATGCGTGTGTGTGCATGTGTGTGTCTCCCTTCTCTCTGTCTCTGTCCCTCCTTCTCTTTCTCTCCCTCTCCTGTTTTGTCCCTCTCTTCATCCAACCCTCCCCCTCTCCCCGCTCCTTCTTCACTCTTCTCCTCCGTCCGCTCCCCCTCACCTCCCACTTCTCCTTTCTTCCTTCCCCCTCTCTCATCCCCCCCGCCCCCCCACTCTTTTGGTCAAATTCTCACCCAGCAATTTCTCTTGTAGCACACAGAACCATTGGCCATTGCTAAGACTAAAGCATACCCTTCATTGTTTCCTCGGGCTGGATCTCCTGTGGACGGGGGTTTAGGAAGCCTGACCCAGCAGCTCCCGGATCCAGGGAAGCGGGGGCCCAGGGACAGCACCCGTCTGCACCACCCAGAGCTCTGTGGGGACACCATGAAGGCGTTGACAATGGTGTCACCACCAGTTTGACGTGCTGGACATCTTCCCCCAAAGACACCTTAATTCAATGTTTCCGAGTAGAACCATTATAATTGCAGTTTTACCAACATGGATGGATTTTTGTTGAAGAAAGTACTTTCTGAGAACATTATGAAGGCAATTTAAGACCTTAATCCATTTTCTCTATTGCAAAGTTAAACTATTTCCAATTTTTCCCCATTTGCATTTTTATTTTACTAAAATTATTTTTTATTGGAGTAATTTTTCTGCATAAAATTTCTAACAGGTTTTTTTTTAATTGACCGGGTTTTTAAAAAAATATCATGAATGTTGCCGTTTTGAGCTTTCTTGTAGAACTATTATTTCTACTGGGACAAATTTTTTCTGGTGATTTAATTTTTTACTGTGTATATATTTTTTAAGCCATTATTGATTTCTTTTTTGTGTTTTATTCCTAATGGTAATATCCACCATAACATTGCTTTAAGTTTTTATGGTTTCTTATTTTTTTGCCTCATGATTAATTCTGTTGGCTGTGGTTGATTTGTGATTAAATCTTCCATACACTTTGCAGTCACTTTGTGTACTGTACACTAAATGTCCACACTAATGAATATACTAAAAAAAAGAAGAAATGGCAGGCATCATAGGTGGGTAATTTGACTGGTTTTGCGAGTTTTCTTTTCAGAAGGTGACATTTTCTGACCATTCCCCCCAGTTCTTATTTGCGCCCCCTGCTCACCTCCAGAGTTACCATACTTTATCCACAGCGTAACTTGTTTGCAGTGGTCATCCCAACGTCTCGGGACCACTCTGCGAGGCCCCAGCTCGCTGGGCAGAACGGCGTCACGGCCGCCCTCGCTGGTCTCGCTGCCCCGCTGCCCTCAGCCCTGGTCTTGCTAGAGCTACTGCGATGCCACTTCAGCAGCTTTCGGACATTCTCTTCCAGGCGACCAGCTTCAGCATTTACCTGGGTCCAGGAAAATAAATTCTCCCCTGAGCTTTTCCTGTAAAGTAA